TACAGTCCTGAAAGTACGAGGAAAGCTGTTTTCTATTCGTATTCTTTCTTGATTTTAATTAAATTAAAAGTATTCTATTAATCGATTTTTGTGAATATTTTTGTTTTAGTTAATCTGTTTTGTAGATACTAGGTGTTAAATAATAGATATTAGTCTTTTATTATAGTGTTGTTAAACTTATAAAAATCGCTATAAAGTCTCTTTTTCGGATCTCCTAGTTTACTAGCAATCAGTATATTCGATACTATTAGTGATTTAGATAGTCGAATTTATCTTTTCTTTAGTATTACTGTAATATATTCTTCTAATATCTTAGTAGTATTATAGTAATGTCGACGTAATCTCTCAGAAAGTAGCTGTTACTTTTCTTTTAGATTGATTTCGTAGTTTTATAGTTGATATTCGGGTAAAGTATATATATCTTCTAGGTTTTCGAACAATCTCTCAAATTCTCTATACTATATAGGGATCTTCTTACTACTTTTACTAACATCTTATAGAAGATCTTCAGCTAAGTATTTTAGTGTATTAGAAGAAATAGTATTAACTTCTTTCTAGCTTTCTAGTTATTGTGAACTCTCGTAATAATATCGACTAAATGTAATAGTCTCTGTGATTTAGTCGATTTCAAAGTTGTATTCTCGGATCTAAAGTATTCTTAAAATAACTTAGTATTTTCCGATTAGTATAATATAAAACTATATATCTATTATATATCTGTTCTTCGTTGTTAATCTCGAAAAGACAGTTCTTTAGCTGATTACTCTGTTGTTGTAATCTATTTACGATCTGTCTACTACTATTAACTCGTAAAATAGTATTTTTATAATTGGAATATTGAGTCTAGTAATAGTTATAAGAGAAATATAGTTACTGTTAGTTTTAGAGTTAATTATTATTCTGAACTTCTTTCTTTTAAATATTACTTCGACGTTCATATATCTCTATCTTCCAGCTACGTTCAGTTCAAGGAAGTTCTTTAGTATTTCTACGACTTCATTATTTCTGTAAAAGTCAGTTTATATTCTGTGATAAGTTTCTTATATTAATAGCCGATAAAGATTCTCAGTCTTAAATATACTAGTTGTAAGTTAGTAGAACTTTTACTAAGTATACTAATAACGTCCTTCTAGTATAAATACTACTTTCTTTCAAATTCTTTTGTGAAGTCCGGTTATTAGAATTTCCCAAATGTTTCCGAGTTCTAGGAGATCTACTAAGTTAAATAGTTTATCTTTTAAGTTAATACTTTCGATAATAACTTTTTCTGTTTTAGTTTCTTTGAAAGCGACTTTCTCTACGTTAATATAAATGACTAAATATATATAATATTTCATTAGTTTATCGTTTATAATTACTCTTGAGAATATAAAAACTTCACTGCTGTTTTCTTTTCTTTATATATTATTATATTCAGTAATCTCAAATAGTAATTATTCTTCTTTTTCTTGTAGTTGTAACGGTTCTGTTATTCTTCCGACGGGGAATCCTAACAGAGGTGTTCTGTTTCGTTTGCGTAGCGAAGTAATGCAGTGATCTCTTCT